GGTTTGTAAAGGGGAGGCGGTCATATGGCGCGATGCCCATTGGCATTAGAGCACACAAGCCACAATTGCCGCATCCTGCTGCGGCCGGACAACTCGTCCGTATCAACCCAACCTCTAGACTTCAGTAAATTCGATCGATAATCTGGCTCTCATAATCTCGCTGAGTCCCGAAGATCTTTGAAAACGCGGATAGCTCCGTTGGTCTGATGCAAGGTGCGAGGAGCGGAATAGAATGTGTTACGTGGAACGAGTTGTCCGGTCACAGCAGGATGTGGTAATTACGACCTGTGCGCTCCAATGCCAATGGGATCGCGCCATATGACGCACACCCTTTGTAAAGGCATCAGAGCATAGGCAATGTTATTTGAAAATTATTGTGCTCATCATCACAATTAATTAGTTATCACTTACCAATCGGCCTATGGCCGCACGCGATCGGAGACAGTGCGTAACCCGACAGAAACCCGTCGAGCGGCAAAAAGGCAGAGTCAGCGACGAGTTGCAGCGCGTGCGGTGTATGATGTGCGATGTAGGACGTAGGATGTGGATGTGGAGTACAATAGTACATTCTGTAGGTCTTGACACGAAGTCACTACAGTATCACACTGTGTCGTCTCTGCCTTGTTGCCGTACGACGGGCATCCTGTCGAGTACCCAAGCTCCCTGCAAGGCTGTAACCACGAGTGCAAACGACGTAAGCAAACCAGCCCTTTTGGCGCTTCGGCTGGGACCGTATGCTGAATGTTGGGGAGGGGATGGAGTCCCCGACGGTGGACGGACCACTTCAACTCGGTCCTTAGAACCGCCACAATTTGGTGCTTACCTCAGAACTAAGCCTTAAAGAGAGGACGGGTCCGTCCCCTCTCCAAGGCTTAGTCCTGGGGTGAGCAAACCAGCCCTTCTGGCGGAGCTGCTGGACCAGCTGCACCACTTGCGTCAGTACTCTCCTATCGTACCAACCGAGTTGAAGTAAACCGTCGACCGTTGGGGACCCCATCCCCTCCCCAACATTCAGCATACGGTCCCAGCCGAAACGCCAAAAGGGCTGGTTTGCTTACTCGTCAAACGTGCGTTGCCGCAGTTCTCAACGCCTACGTTGCGCAGTTTCGCCCGATTAGACACCGGTAGCTCTGCGCCGTATGTGCTCTCCGCCCAATACTACAGTGCTTGAGAAGACTTCTCAATGGCCGTTGCCGAAGTGGCGCACGCAGCGGCTGATCTGGCTGTAACCTAGGATTGCATAACTGACGCTCAAATAATGAAGAAATTCTAATCGAATCTAATAATTTATTACAACACATGGAATATACAACAACGCAAATTAAAACAACGTTGTAGACACTTAAATTTTAACAAATTAAGAGGCAATAAATACCATAGTGAATGGAAACCCGTGTTTTGCTAGTGCCATACTGATGCGTGGATTGTTATTCATGGAATGCGCCTAATTCAGCATAGCCATCTCCCTTTCCCCTACATGAACGCTAAGTCAGCCGATGTAGTCGGCCGCGATCGAGTATAAACACGGTTGGGGGTGTAATGTAAATAGAAAACTGGAAGACTTGGTCAGGATGTTCATAGGCCTGTGGCAAGCAAATCGCCATTCTTTGACGTCTATCTGAAGTGGTCAACTGAACTGAAAAACTATAATGAGAATTTTGGTAGATTGCGGTCGTTCGCAATTGTAGTACAGTGTTAAAGCACTCTGATCAGTGGTAACGCGTTACGGTCATGGCGCCCATCTGAGATTTTTCATTTTTGGGTTCTCTACGCAGCTTCAGCCTTGGCGCAGACTACTGCGCCATACAGGATACTGTTGTGCGCGAACGGATAAGTCTGCTGATCACGATGGATAGCGCACATTGTGAGCTTCGGTATCTCATACTGCTCAAAGGCAAGATTTCGAAGATCAAATTCGTCCTGGAAAATGCGTTCAGTATCAAGCCAACGGTGCGGGAGGTGATCTGAAATAAGAGAAGGAAAGCAGACTAAACACCCCAGCTACGTCTCGCCATAAAAATCTCCTTCTATTTGAAGGCATTAGACGGATAACAACGGCCGCGGGAACGGCTGTTACCGTAATCCGCCGCCGCAACAAATCGATGCCACGTGGCATTCGGCATGCCTCTTCCGTCGTTTTTCTGCGCACTCCACGGCGACAGTGCGGACGATACGGAGCCCGTCCATTGTACGGAGCACCCGAGCTGTAGAAGGGCGAATGTGGCAGCGTGTCGAACTGGCCGGAGCGCGCTTCGCCGGCATGTTGGAGTTAACCTCCCTTGCCTTGCGCGCGAAGCGAGTGCTGCGTGTTTTTGAGCAGCACTCGCCTCGCCGCTGGAGCGGTGAGGCATGTGCTGCATGCATTTTTGGATAGTCACCCGCGGTAAGGGTGGCTTGTGACAAGACGGTTATCGCAGTCCGTGGAGTGAGCGTTCAATCTACCTAATTCATTGAAAGGGCGCGGCCACGGGTTACGGTAACAGCCGTTCCGCGGCCTTTATTATCTGTCTTGTTCAAGACGCATTCTCTTGTATGATAGAGAAGGGGTGGGCGTTTGGACGAAGTTTCACGAATCTAACTCTAGTTGTTCCAGTGCCATTGACATTGAGTCGCAATAGTGAGGGTGGGCTTGCGGACGAAGGTGTGAGTTGCAGGTCGGACGAGCTGCTTGCGCCTTTGTCGCGCACTTTCAAGCGGCAAAAGGGGTGCGACAACAACACTTGTCCGCCTGCCTACTACTCCCGGGAATGGAAGAGGCGAGCGCGCCTAATCCGGAGCGCCCTTCACAGGCATGCTGACGGCGGCGTATGAAGGGCTCGGCTTGTTATATTGACTGACACGCATGATGGAAACAGATTAAGGGGCCGATCCCACCCGACCCCCAGCGCAGCTCGAATGGGTCTAGTTCACCGATCGTCGCTGACGTCAATCGGACACCGCGCCGCCCTCTTAGCTAGGTGATCCCCGCCTCAAGAGATATCACTCTCTTGGATTTCTGGTTGTCCTGTGGCGTGCCGCGCCCCGACCAAAACCGACACAACCCACCCCTTAGGGTGTCCCTTCAGGAGGCCCGTCGCCGCGCGGCAAGAAGGCAGAGTCGCGGACCAGTCGCAGCGGCGTAGGACGTACAATGGAACATTCTATTTAAGCATGACGCGCAGTACGCGCGCAACTCGTCCGCTGACTCGCCTTCCCGTCGCGAGACTGGCCTCCTCGGTACCCCTCTTGGGGGACATCCGATCTCTTGAAGGGTGCGACCGCAGCCTTTAGGACTCTCCTTCTCTGTACATGAACCGTACATCGACCGATTCGCTAGCGTCCGCGGTCACGTTACGCTACCAGTAAATCGAGTGAATCGCTAGTAGCGAACCGATCGATTCGCAAAAGTGTGACATCGGCTGAATGTGGTACCACCTACATTGAAACACAAGGGTGTTGTTAATACAGGCTATGGTTTACAATGTGGGATCGGATTGGGGCAAAGCATTAAAGCTAACAGAGCTGGACATGTGCTATATAACCTCATAAAACAACATTAGGCCTCTTAAAATACCAAAGTGATTAAGTGAGCAATTCTTTGCACAGCCCGAGTGGGCTTTCACAAATATTGCATAATTATTAGAGTTCTACATCAACCGTACTCATGTAATACATGAAACAAATGCCGCTCGTTATTCCAAGGTATTGCAATGTTGTGACGAGAAGACTCTCCCTCATGTCAACCTTCATCAGCTCATTGCAGCCTTCTCGAATTTCGGGTATCTGTAAAAAGCTAACCTTTGGTATTAGAATGAACAGTCCAGGACACGCGCGGTTGCAGCGCGGTCCCTCCGCGACGACGGCCACAAAATCGATCACTGCTAATAGATTTCTCTCTTCTCTGATGGTGTAACAGTTTGTCTACAAAACGAGGAGACGTGGCGAAATGGTGCTCCAGAAAAGTAGCGTTTTCGTGAAGTGAAGCGCGATAAAATCGAGACATCAAAAAAATCATAAAAAGATCGTCTATACTTATCGTGGAGAAATCGCTAGATGACGTTTAGTTCAAGTGCGTCATCCAACCGGGTTAACTGCTGTCTTGGTGAAGATTTATGGAAACTCCTTTCATGCACTCAAATCGGTCAAAGGAGCAGAAAAGCTTTTTTTCCTATTGGTGATGGGCTGCATCGTCTGCACCACTAATGACTGAGGTGACGATCAAATTTTGAAGACAAAGTTTACGAAATGCCAGCAATATCTTAGCATGCACCATGCACTAGACTTCATTCAACATCGTACTCAACGGCAGCGAGTACGATAACTTTGGGTGGATTTAGAATGAAATCGCGGGTGCTAATACGCTCCATTTCGGAGAACGAGAAAGGCGTCGAGTGCAGACTGCACACCACAAGTGACGACGGCCAAGAAAAAGTGGCTTTTTCTTGAACTCGTAACTTGTGCCTGGTCTGCACTCGACGCTCTTCTCTTCTTTCGAAACAGAGGGTATGTACATGGTGCATCAAGCTCAAAAAAGCAGGGCAGTCCATCAAATGCCCGCGAAAAAGACCTTCCCTTCGCCCATTGGTTTTGGAGATCAGTTTACAGCTTGAATGGTCTGCCACGGTATAGTACATAACGGAAGGATTTTTTGCTTTCACACTCTGCGCCGTTGCGGATAGTGCGGGCGGTGCGGTAAGTGCGCAGAGCGTCAACGCATTGGCGCATGACGCGTGCTTGGCACATAATAGGTGCCCATCGATCGATCAATTTCAATTCCATTTCATTCTGCATATTTTCAGGTATTCTACATGCCGTATTGCTCTCATTCGTGTTTTTCTAGCGTGAACCTTTTCATTTTTTGTGTGAATTATTGTCTTTCTGTTGTCTGTGAACGGTTAGCGTCGTGCATTTGCGTTTGAAAGTGGCAGTAAGCAAATGTTATGAATTAAAATTGATCGATCGAAAGGCACCAGCTGTGCGCCGAGTGCGCGGTATGCGCCAGTGAGAGTGTTGACGCTCTTCGCAGTGTCCGCAGCATGCGCACGTCAGCAACGGCGCAAACTATAGAAGCAGCCTGACAACGTATTACAGTTTGATGCAAAATGTGCTTCCGAATCCGAAAATCCTCCGATCAACTGCGTGCAAGCGACATCCCTTGAAAATCTCTCGAAAAGCCCTTCAAAAACTGCTTGGCGTAGGACGAGTTGCCTAATCAACCATAAGTACAGTTGGGGGAACGAGAGAGACCATTGCAAACATCTGAACAGTACCCTCCCCTTTACAGCCGCTTGTGAGTTCACCTTACTGATTTTACAGCGGACAAAAAGAGCGGAGAGACGAGCGAGGCGCAGATACCAAGGATCCTGCCAATAATTTATTCTAGGATGAATCCCGATCTGATGGGCGTTCCTAAACCCAATCTATACAGCCTTAGCCCTTTGCCCATGTACGTTTGAATCGCGAGGTTGGCACAGCATCCACGCCAGCAAGGGAGCAATCTCTCGCACATATGGTTAGAGGATTATTTAGCTAATTTACGAATCGTAGGTAGCGCGTTGAAGTGCTATGAACGGCACCTCTCTAAATATTAAAGCCATAGCTGAGTTGAACAAAAAATTGACTGGTTGAGCTCACCAATGTTCCAAGAAAAATGTACAAGTACATTCCGGACGATATTGAAAAGATGAATTCATCATAGTCTTCATCGACATTATCAAGCAGTACACCGCAGGCGAAACCGAGGTAGCTGAGAAAAATCGGGATCAGATTGAGCAGCAGAGTTCGTCGAAAGCCGAGTCCAGAGTTGATTAGGATGGCAAGCGTACCTTAATATTTCCTGAGATAGACACTGAAATTGGAAGTTAACCTTTGAAGGGAAGTTATAAAGGTAAATATACCAGGACAATCATTCGAGTGATTACTATTAACATCAACGATTTGTTTTTGTTTGTTAACTGCTGTTTTTGGCCGCAGTTCGCCTTGCGAATGTTTCACAAGAATGCTGGGTTGTGAACAAAACTTTCGCCCCAGGCGGGACTAGAACCCGCACCTCTCGCTTTCCGGGCAAGTGCGCTACCAGTTACGCTACCTGGGGA